GCTGCTAAGTTGTGCGGTGTAAAATAGTCCGAAATAGTTCGTTGTTTCTCTTTCTTTATCAACAATACTGGCATAACACAAATAACCGAATGTTAGGACTGACTGGTCGCCACGACCCAGTGGAGGATCGTATGCTACTGACTCAACCATCAATTCTTCATTAGTCAGGGTTAAGTCTAGGAGTGGTGGCATGTTTGAACCGCGGCGTCTGGTTGTTTGATGCACATGGTTATACAAAACTGCCACATCCATGAATTCGAGGAGTCTCGATTTAAATGATGGTCCATTAGGGAACATTGATGCTATTGAATGCACAATAAAGTCACCCATTATAAGATAGTGAGAGTACTTTGGTGAAACAGCATAGCGCAGAGCGTTTAACCGAATGTTATCACTATCAGCTGATGAGTTCGGAGGCCCATGGATAACTGCTAAGAGGCAAGCATCACGCGTCTTCTGTGAACCAACATCTCGACCAGCTAGTTGCAGTCGGCAAAATAGTGCGTCGGGAATAACAAGGGAATTTTCGGTAAGAGCCTCACATTTCAATTAATCTCGATAGTGGAGAGCAACACCGCCACCACGAGATGGACGATCATTTCGAATGACTGACATCTCACTGAGTTCAATCTCTGGACCAATTATGTCGTTTGAGAGCCAAGTTTCAGTAACTGCTATGAGGTCTCAAGTTGTTGTTTCATGTCGATAGTGCAGTTCTGAGAGCTTAGAATACAACCCTTGAGTGTCGATGCAGCAGCATTGTATTTGTTGACGCACAAATAGTGCCGGTCTGCTGAAGATTTTGAAACGGTGGTTTGCAGCGTTAGTTGGTCTGAGAGAAGTGCAACCGAGACTGGCTTATCTGTATCTGAGGTTTGTACTAATTGAAGGAATGGTCTTAACCGTACCTCTGATGGTCCAAGTTTCCTGGTGTCATGTCATGCTTGGATGGCCACTGGTAACATTTCGGCCGCAGCTAAGGTAGTTTGTGGAGGCAACTAGACGGGTGATGTCAAAAGCCCCGACATTTTGCCTGTCGTAGAGCTCTTTGCTATACATTAATGTAAATTAATGCTGATTTCATCCTTAACAAGCCATTGTTCTATTCCTGATCCTCCTCAAGCACTTCGATTCATAGCAATCACGATTAATTTGCTGTACTTACATGTGAAAGTGTACTCAAATCGCTGTTCATAAAAAGATTCTTCTTACTACACTCCGAGGACTTCGTGTCCCGTAGTGTGAGGCAACCCCTCACAACAGTGTGATAACGTACGAAGTCTAAACTAATGCTAATTCGATTTCCAATTTGGAACATTTTTGGTTTTGATTCTAATTTTCCATCCTATGGGTCTTGTAAAGTTACGGTTTTTATCCCATCATGCTCTATTGGACTAACAACAGCCTCAGTGTCTAACATAGAGGGCTTGCGAGTATCTAAACAAATAATTCGAGATGATGGCAGTTCACGTTGTTTTCCTTTCAACTTCTATTAATTCATCTTTTGATTTCAAATGCTTGTGCACCTCTCTTGGTGAACACCCTGATTACTTTGGTGCCCCTAGTTGTGCATAGAACTGGATTCATGGATTATGTGAAGTTTTTATGAATGTCACCCATGCGGATTGATTCCAATTGTCACTGTACCAACCAAATCGTGATAAGTGGAGCCGGTCATTTATCTTCTTTCACTACCATAAGAGACGCAAGGAAACTTGTCAGCCTGTTGAGATTAATAGCAGCGCCTTCTCCCTCGAAACCATGACTGAATCTGCCGGGTCTTGGTTGATAATGACGGTGTGCGAGACTAAGTCACTAACCGCTATGTGCGGCGTTTCATACTTAAGGCACGCAGCTTACCGCCACGCAGAGGACAGATCTGGTTCCCTGAAGCGCGACTAGTATACCAAACCAACTATCCAATACTATGTAGGCGGACTTGCAGTTGAAGCATTCAATAAATTTCACTTAAAGGTAGAAACTCATCACATCTAGACTTACACAAACAAGTCAAGTCAAAATAAGCTTTATGCACCCTAATGGGTTCATTTTCAGCATGTACACTATCACTGCGGAGACTTGGATGGTAATATCAAGATACATGCTTGGGTAGACAAGTGGGAAAAAAGCAGAACTCTTAATACAACAAGCGCTCGCGCAGCATGTTTGTAACCTTGGTGTGTCAACAAGCAAACGTGAGAGATAAGGCAAAACAGTATTACGATAAGATGAGGTTCGAGAGAATAACATCCTGGATTTCGAACGCGTAGAAGAGAAAGAGAATGTTTTGGGAAGATCATTGTGAAGTGGATGAAATCGGTCAGTTAGTATCTTAGAAGCAAAATCATTGCAGTCATCAAGATGTCTAGAAATGATCAAATCAACTAAAGAATCTCTAGACAAGCCGCTGCATCTAGAAATGTGCTTTATAGATCGCACCAATAAGATGTAGTCTTTCTGAAGTAGTCCAGGGAAAATAACAGGAGAGCAGTATAACCAATGAGGAATAATATAAGAAGTTACAAATCTGAATATTAAAGTACGAGGTACTGAAAGCATCCTGAGTCTGAGGGTATAACAAGAAAGTTTTCTGACTTTTTGAAAAGTTTTGCAGACGTGCGTGGACAAAGGAAGGTTCTGGGACAAAAAGAGGCCGAGATACTTGACGGTGGAAGAGCTGGGTATGGGATTTTCATTCACATTAACTGTGGGGGAGAAATCTATGAGGCACTGCAACTTATCGCTATGTAGAAAGGAAAATATTACATCCCTGTATTTAGAAGTATTAAGCGTAAAAGATATGGATGTAGACCATTCCACCAGATCTTCCAACCCACGTTGAAGTGATGAGGAATCCTGGTTAATGGGGGACATACATCCCAGCACAACATCATCAGCATAGTTACACGCTATAAACGTGGTTTGTATAGGGAGATGTTCAACATACAAGGAAAATAGAAAAGGTGATAGGATCGCTCCCTGCAGAACACCACAGTCGGAACGGATGACAAAGAATTTCTTACTGTTTAACTTGGTGAAGTGAGTACGATCTGTAAAATAGTCACCTGACAGATTACACACACCAGGGTGAACTCCATTTTCGGATAGCAGGTTTAGCAACCTTGACCTATCCAGACTTCCAAAGGCATTCGAATAATTCAGGAAGTGAAGCCACACGGATTTACATTTTTGATCTAATGCAGAGACTATAGAATGAACAACATAAGTCACTGCATCCAATGTGGAGCGCTGGGGTCTATACGCGAACTGGTAGATATGGTTTTCAGGAGCGAGTGAAAAAATTCGCGGCATTAACAAGCTTTCGAAAACTGTTAGGAGCACTGATGTACATGCAATTGGGCGATATATTTGAGAGCCACTTTTTTGTACTGGAAGGATACTAGCCGTTCTCCAAATGTCCGGGATCACCCCCGTATTGAGGCATTTGTTAAAGAGGTCTAGTAGAAGCAGTGTGAGAGGATTCGCACACTCCTTCAAACGTAATGGTGAGAGAGCATCCGGACCACCAGCTTTGGTTGCCTTTAATCTTTTGAGTTCCTTGTTGAAGTTGCTTTGATCGAAGAGCGCGGCTGGACTAGAGCTAACAAAGGAGGGAAAGGAAAATGAGCTTAGTGAGGCGAAACTTAACTCCGAATTCAGTTTATCCACATGCACTTCACCTCTCTGGCTGAAAACTCTTTTACCACAGAGCTGCCTCAAAAGCCCCCATAGATAACGACAGTTATGGCTGCCTATAAGTGCTTCGACGTATAATTGATTTAGTCTTGTTATCTCGAATTTAATTGCCGTGCTTAGGCTTTTGACACGGGTAGCATTCTTGCACTTGTAGGCCCATTCTTTCATCCTTCGAAGTTGCTTTAGTAGTGGTGATACAAATCTATCTGCTCTTAGATAGATCGGTCCAACAGGGCAACACATGTCAAAGCAATATTTGCTGTAGTCCGTAAGATGGTCACATTCGAGCGACAGGTCCTCGTCATTGAAGTTCTAAAAATCAGTAAAAGAAAACATCGTATGGAACCTCGTGATATTTTCCAAGGAGCGATTTCGCCGTTTGATAATCTGCTCAGCGTTAAAATGTTAGACCTGCTACACACGACCGGAAAAACACTGTACGCGCGTTTCATTCATTCGGGAATGGTTAACAATGCGCATTCCATCGGAAGCTGGGGCTAGAACCCGCAACTCCATTGTTGCCAGTCCGTGGTTAAGACAACTGAACTACGGGGGACGGCAATGACCATCCGGAGTAAGTTACTATATATGATGTAGCGCCCTTCGCTAGTCACTGAGCTTCACGTTACTGCAATGCAGAGGACAGGGTAGCCCCCACACCAAGCGACGAACTTCCCAAACTTAAGCCACCAATTAACTTAGTTTCTTAAATCCCTGGATTAAAGGGAAACGCACTTTGTTGATGGATTTCAGTAAGCTTATGCCACCGTACCACGGCTTTCTGAACCTGTCATATCTGTATGGCTAAGCCTATGATGACGATATTTGAATTTTTCCGGCTCCCCATGCGGTTGAATCATCCAAATAGCCCTTGCCCGAGCCTCCCTTGCACATACATGCCTCGAAATGATGGATAGCCGTGTGATGTAGCACAAGCTAATATTGCCTGTATGAATATGACACAACTTCATGAAACCATTCCGGCAATGGCCCATCGACGCCGGCTTCATCATGCCAGGAACTTGGACAAATGCCAGTTACTCGTCCCCGAGTTTATTCCCTGTTTCCTTTAGTTTGCCTAAGGAACTCAGGGCGTTATCATGGGCCTATTTATAGTTACATACAAAGTATGGTATGATGAATAGGTTTACTGTAACGGCTGGCGAACTGATCAAGTAAGTGGGAACGTTAGAGTATTTTTTTACCACACTCAAAAACGTAAAATTCGATGTATCGGAGATAAGTAAGGGATCTCGGCGTTTTCACCTTGGGATCGCGAGCTTACTCTTTGCAACTTGCTTTCGCAGGCTTCATTCCCTAAACCATCCAGGTCGATTTTGGATGAAGTGACCTCTGCGTTCGCTAAGTTCATCAGCAGTTTTAAAGAACTTAACAATACTGATTCCGAGGATGAGTCCTGCTCGCGGACTCAGGTTGACCAGCAGAATGAATGTTGTGAAGCCACTAGGACCAAACTGCCCTATCAAAAAGAACTTTCCAACGCCCTTCACAAGATCGGTTTGAGTATGAAGGAGTATGAAGAAGTAAGTTGGACAAGCGCTGTACTTGTTCTTTCGGTACACACCCATGTGCTATTTGTACCGTTTTTAAAAGCCTGCGCCCTAGGTTGATAACCAATATGCACACCAGCAATAGTACAAAAGAGTGGCACCATATAACGACGTAGTTGACGTCGTTATCATTTTAATTGGTGCATACGGTGCTTTGTCAACCTCCCTTTAACGTTGATATGCAACTGCCATCCCATTCGACTGAGTACAAGTTGTGCTAATCAGGTACGCGGTGCCTCAGCAGCACACCCAAACGATCGACCTGATAGGCTTGTTGTGCTACTGCTGATGACCCAAACGTTATCTCGCTGGTTATAACTCAAACCAAGGCAAATAAATCTATAACACTGGAACGCTACCATTTAGTCGGATGAACCAACATCTGAGAGCCACCTAGAGTACCAACTCTGGTTAGCTATACTATACTCTGTCGACGTGTTTTACTGTATACCTACACCTTCAACAGCATTTAAAGATGTGCTATGTCGGCGGCGCATCACATTTTGTGGTCCCATCACAGTTCCATCAGTGCAAACCATACGAAGGCTGGGTCGCAGTGCCACTTTTCTTTACTGGCTTATAACCATGAAGACATTTGGAACTGGCCTTATTGCTATCACGAAATCGCCCTTTACTGTATAAGAGCTTTACTGACAATCCTCTCCTGAGAAATTCCCCCTCCAATAATTTTGTCTCCACTTTCACTGGTGCATTTGCTGGAGATTTTAAAACGTGCATATCTGCTGGTAGTGAACATACTGTTTGTGTTTCAAGTGTTCCGTCTATGACAGTTGTCACCAAATAGGAAAACCTCTTAAGTTTGGCACTTTACACCTTAAACCCCGCTCATAATCATTATGCTACACTTAATTAAGGTAATGCAGAACATCCAAAGTGAGAATCATACGAATCAACATCTGTCGGAATTGGCTGGACCAAAGGAGGATGTCCCAGAAAGTGTCACGAAAAGTTGTGAAACTGTGTCAGGTGGGTTCAAATCCAACTGTAACAGCAAACAGCTTTTTCCAACTGAGTCACGAGTCAGTCGTATCACGGCTTTTATGCTTTAATTTTCCGGTAATGCAGTTTTTCTACTGGTTTGCTAGATGGTGCGAATAATTTTGGAGCTCCCATGTAAAGCAGGTTTCCGTGGCCAACGCTTGTGAGGGATGTGCCTAGGAGACAACTGAAATCGAAGGAAAATCTCTCGATCAATATGTCCCAAACTCAGAAGGGACGCATTCACCAATCCAAGTCCGTCAACCATATAATCACGAATGAAGTCTGCACTCGCTGTACAATGTGTGCCCACAAGCAAATTGTGACATCTGCGAGTGCCTGACACAGTAGTAGAGTGTTCACGGTGTGTCAAGGTAAGGCATCGCGCACACTAAACGAACAAGACCGTCACCAAAAACATAGCTATGAACCCCCTTCTTATAACAGAACTTGTACATGGCATTCATGTTCTGTTGGATCGCTAACATAGCGATTGGTTCACGTTGCTGAGTTTAAGCGTCCCAACTTTATGGTAAGATATCAGCCAGAAGTAATAATTTAGTTTGGGGACATAGCTCACAAAACCCTTAGGGCAATGGAGTTGTCAGGCCAAAGAACAATCCCATGAAACATAAAACATAATGTAGCGTGTAAAAAGGTCAGTCAGTAGCCGCTTCCATATGATTTCATCAGCTGTTTGAGAATGTAATTTTCTGAAGAGCCTGTAGTCGCAGCGATCTTACTGGTGGGTCGGGTGAGAACCGCCTTAACGATTCAAGTGGCTTTCAGACCGGTAAGCTTGCAAAGAACGCTTTTACATGCAATCACCATAAAACCCAGTATTTTGCTTCGTATCCTATCAAACTAGACGTGTATTGGTTATGGCGTTAACATTGCAGTGGAACCGTTCACTTTGTGCCTTCACTTCAGGTATCCGATGGTGAAATCAATGTGCATTTTTATGTCTTGTATCCTGTGTAGCCGTTAATCACAAATTCTGCGATCAAAACCTGATGCCTGTCAAGGCGTCCATACTTGTTCTCAAACATCTCCTCACCGAGTTATCCGGCCAAACGAACAAAAGCAGAAGGTGCAACAGGAGACCGGCGTCCTTTTTGCTTTCTTCCTAACCTTTACAACAAAGTGACCTGGGTGGCCCGCGAATCGCTGATTTGGGGGATATGGCTCTACTCAGTGCTCTCTACGTGTCAGCTTCGAATTGCAATTCGGCTATCTTTACTTGACAAGTGTAAAACAAGTAGGAATCTGGTTGTGAAGTGCACACTGCTAGCAGACAATGGTTTAAACTCATCCGCGTCGACTGAAGTCCCAATAGCGAACGGACCGAGATTCAGTCAGAAGCAAGTTGAGGCCCAGCTTACGATAGCGCGTCGATATTTGTTCACGCGCCAGACTTTTTGACTGGGCCCATAACGCTTTGCGTCGTCCTCGTTAGCACTCGCAGCGAAGCAATTCTGACTATGTATGGATTCCTCGGGACACAGTAACAACTCCAAGCATAAAATGCAGTTAGCCGACCTAGCAGTTGTGGTAAGCCCGCACGACCAACCAGCAGTCTGTGAATCGGATCTGAGAAAGTAATATGCCCCATTGTCCCCTTATATTCTGCGTACATCAACATGGACCAGGCCTATGGTTAGAGGCCAAACAAACTCAGCCTCCTGGTCCTCCAGGTTGGGGGTTGGCATGACGGTGGCTCCTTACTTCTTAAAACGGACACTATGTAGCCCAACGCTAAACCCTCTGCGTTGTGGTCAGATTTTTGAACCAAATGCTTTGGTTGAGAACCCTAATCGCTCTCCTGTCTAGGCCTGGACAACCTGACAGCATTCTGCCCACTCAATACTATGAATCTTTCGTCAAACAATTTCCTGGTTCTCTGGCCACCGCAGAGGATAATCAACGGTGCCCTAACTGCTACATCGAGCAGGGTGGATAGGGGTTTGGATGCTACTTCTCAAGCCTTCCCGTCTTCTTATTCTCCCATTTTATGCTTTTTCCCCCTTATCGTCCCGTTCCAACTTCTCTTTTATCACCCCAGTTTTCAACTCTCCCCCCGATTCTTGGCACTCCCCCAACACGCTTCGATAGGCATTTATCTCTTAGTTTCAACTCACATGCTAACGCGGAGCGTCACTCCTGTCCTGTCGACAAGCCCACCCCAGTCCACCCCAGTTCCTCGGCTTCCATTTGGAGCCCTCGATCCTCCCTCAGATGGGCATGTCTCAATGTACGCCCATTGCTACAGGTTGGTCAACACACAGCATTTGCCCGAACATTAGAGACCCTCTCCATCGATATCTGCTGCTTATCAGAGACCCGCCTGCAAGACTCGAGATATGTACTCACTCTGCGATCCCCTCAGGTGACAGCGGCAGTATTTTCTCATTGCACCTATCCGGTGACGATTCAACTTCGAGCACCGGCCAAGCTGGTATTGGTATTGCCCCGAGTCCCCGGGCTGAAGCTGCTGGATCTCAATCACTAGCCGGATGTGTGCGGTCCCATTAACTGGCTCGTTCAAACCTTCGAAGTCGCGCGGGACTAATAGGTGACTATTCAGCATCGCTGCTTACGCGCCCACAAACTGTAGCGATGATTCGGTAAAATCGACTTCTACCGCCAACTGACTCAGCTCCTTCGCCATAGAAGAAGCACGGACACTGTTGTGCTAGCGGGGGATATGAACGCACAAGTTGGAAACTTGTCCACTGATGGAATGCATCTGGGCGGTCAGTACGGTGTAGGCTCCTGAACCGATAACGGTGAGTGGTTACTTCATTTATATGAAGTCGCCCGCTTATTTCTTTCGAGCACTAACTTCCGACACAGCGGCCGCCGGTGGGTAAGATGGCGCCCACCAGCTCCGAACCAGCCCTGGTGGCAAACCGATCACATTGCAATCAGTTACCAATGGAGAGGCTGCGTCTAGAACTGTCGCTCGATTTGGAGCACATGAGTGGACACCGACCGTCAGTTGTTGGAGTACCGTCACATTTATCGGCGTTCCCCCCTCCCATAGTTGTGTTTCTCGACATCAAAGGTGCCTTCGATTCGGTTGATCGATGTGCCTTTTGGGACTGGCTATTCAGGAAAGGTGTGCCCGAGAAATATATAGATATTGTCCAAACATTATGCGCGCGTAGCACGGGCAGGATGAGAGCTTACGGTAAGCTGTCTTCGCGCTTCAATATCTCCAGCGATGCGAGACAATGCCCGTTCTCACCTTTCCTCTTCAACTTCGCTATTGACTAAGTCATGGAGATTGCATTTGCAGGACACGACTTAGGTGTGCAGATACTCCTAGGAGAACGACTTGGAGTATGCAGACGATATTGTTCTCATCTGTGACAGCTCCCAGACGTGCCTAGCTGATCTGGACGGATTAGCACTGGCTGTCCGTCACTTTGGGCTTTGCTTTGCACCATCGAAATGCAGAGCTTTCCTCGAAGCTTGGCCTGGACCGCCTTCTTTGCTGACCCTTGATGGGGCTCAGCTGTAAGTCGTTCAAAAATTCTACTACCTGGGATGTTGTATCAGCGCCATTGAGATTGAAGATCAGATCAGATCATATATCAAAAGCTCGAAGTGCTTTTCCTAACCTTGGCGGCGGCGCGGCATCACTCTTGCCCTGAAGGGTAGAATGTACAATGCAGCGGTACGTTCGACCTTACTGTCCGGTTGCGAAACCTGGCCCCTTAGATCAGCGGCCATAACGAAGCTAGTTACGTTCGACCACCGGTTCCCTCGCAGTTTGGCTCACATCTGATGGGAACACCGCGTGAGAAGCGAGCGCGTTCAACACCTTGTTCACGGCACAGCATAATGAACTGAACCGCTCAACACCGACATTTCACGCACCAGGCTCCAGTGGCTCGGCCAAGTGTTACTCATGCCAGGCCACCGGCTCGCAATGTACGTTGTTTGCTCGCCGGGGATGTGAATGGAAGAAGAGGATAGGTGGCCAAGCGATGACTTGGTCAAGAGAAATGTAAGCCATCACTTTGAAGCTGGCCTCGGTTGAAACTTCTCGACTCCCTGGTTGGGGTCCGAAAGATGATGAACACGTTTGGCTAGATACACTTGCTGATATGGCAATGAGCCGACCTCACTGGCGTTTCTGCTGTGAGTTTCTTTGTCCCTCCCCATCCCTTCTAGCCTCCCCTCCAACCACGATCCCAGTTTGTAGCATAATATAATTTTGCATAATAAAATTTTGTTGCCCAGTAGCCCGCTGGTAGCTTTCCGGAACGATGCCCATCCGTTGCTGGCAGCTCATCTGACATGCAGCTGTTGCATTTACTTTCTTTTTTCTTTTATGTATTGCGGCACAGTAACTGAGGTGTTTCCCACCTCTAGCTAATGTGTGCAGTGATGATGATGATGATGACGTAAAGGCTACTATGACGGTGCAATATTTGACTCAAGGCTTCCACTCAACGTTTTTGCCTTGGTATTGGCACCGGCTTGTATCAGATCAATGGAACATAGTATGAAATGATATGGGTGCCTTGTTGATGCCACCGCTCTCTGCGTACATGCTGCGTTCGAGTTTGTGCAGTTTAAGACAGCTGGTGAATTATCTTCCGTAGCAACGGACCTAAGCGCTATTTTACCAACGATCTTCTCACTGTGGTTGCTGACATACAAAATATCTTTGCGCCACAGCAATTCGGCTTAGACAGCTTTCATGTGTAAGAATATAGATGCATTTATCTTGTTTCAGAAATGAAGTGACCAGATTAGGAGCGCATCGGTCGATGCTGTTAATATCTGTCGGTTTAGCTCCCACGTGGTCACGTCGCTCGTATCACGTTAAAACATGCGAAGTGCTGTGAAACCGTATTACTAGGCTTCTTCGTTTGTAACAGATTTATCTGCCTACTAACACAGCTCACGCAGGTAAGCGACCACAACGCTGATATTAGTAAGTATCGTCCTTATAAGACTTTCTTGGTGCAATCTTCGCGAATGATTGCATATTAAGCAACCCTGTGTGCATAACAGTTTCGTGTCTACATGAACTAGGTGACATCACTTCTGTTCCGGGGCAATCCATACGTTCTTTAACTGCCTCAGACCTGCCTTACTGTTATGAGATCCTTAATGCAGAAGTTAACCATGCCCTATCTTTGTCGTGTTGTCCGCGCCAAGACCATAACAATTGCCATTGCACATTCTGTCGGTTAACTCACCAGGATAGTTTCTTTCCTAAGTTACTATCCTTCGAATAAAGCTACAGCGACTGTTCTGAGGATTATGCGATATTTGTCTAGGTATATCATTGTATGCCACCAGCTAGAGCGATCCACACTTGTAAACTCATAACTCACTGAACATCATGTGTACTTTGATGAAAAGCACCCAATTATCTTATTTCAGTTTATATCAGTGCTTAACTGAGGGGAGTTCTGTAGTCGGTCGTCGTACTAAATCCTTTGCATTGCGGTAACGCAACATGGCGGAGCTGTATACTATCGGGCGCATCCCCAGGTTGCGGATTGCGGAATACATTCCTAATGGAGGTAGCTGTGAATAAGCCTTGTCAGTTTTGCAGGCGAGATGAATAAGCAGTCGCGGACAATCAGCGGCGGCGTCTCAGAGCATGGTGAGTTCCGGACTGGTCACCTGGTTCTTCGTCAAATAACACATGAGCTCATACGGCGCTGTGTCAAGGTTAATGTGACCGGCTATAATGTCACTGACCACTCACTTCTGGTCACAGAAATGAGTAACTGACGCAGGGCGGATGAACATCTTTGATGGCTACTGACTTCTCTGTGAACTACTTCGGAACATAAAGAAGACGAATGAGCCACCAAGCTGTCAACAGGCTTCGTAAACCGCCCCGCTGCCTTGCGGGTCAGATCTTTATGACCAAAGACTCGGGGTGGGGTCCCTTAAGTCAATCCTCTTCCTCGGCCTGGTCAACCAAGAAGACCTCTGCCCACACAACGCATAGGCCTACTAAACGTTTAAATACTTCCGCTGATTATTAGTTTTTCTCCTTGTTGTTGTTTTCTTTAACCATGTGTTGTGGCACTGCCAATTTTATGTTGATGACTCGTTGAATAATAATATTAATAATAACGCCACGTATGTTGTGTTAACGATCCATGCGTTGTTTACCGCTAAACCTTCGCCTGATTTCTCGCACAGCTAATGGGTCATTAAGCATCTCGCTTTTGAATCGGACTCGTTACTCCGCAGTAGTGACGAAGACTGCCGAACACTCGACTCAGTGCGTAAAATACGGCGGATAGAAAAGCAAACTCCGCGTCATGACAGCGTTCATAGCAATCGAGTGACAGATGTGCCACAGTTTTGTATTCCTGTTCGTTCCTCGCATGCACACTGTCAAGAAGTATTGCAGTTTTTCCGAGTTGCTGAACAGCGATGTCCAGTGATAAAGTAGGAGTTTCCACTGAACAACTAAGGAAATGAGAGACATGTTCGGTTCTGGAACATTTGCAGTGTTCATATTATGCTGAGAAGTTTCTGAATTCGCAACTGACGGTCGTCAGAGAGCTAATCGAAATGGTACTTAACTTTCCCCTTTTTATCCACTTGCCATATTCGATTACTGTTGTTTTAGGATGAATTGTGTAAGTAAGGAGAGATTTACATAGTGTCGTTCTGTCTTCAGCTAAAGTCTGTGCTGTCATTCTGGATTCTTTCGTGCCCTCTCTTCCATTGACGAACGTGAGGCTGCCTTCATTTATGACCTCGATATAGTGTTGCTGATAAGAGAAGCTGGAAGAGCAAATGGTGCCTTCTTTACCTAAGGGAACAACCTATGCTCAAGTCAAACACAGGCCAATTAGCTCGACCTAATTTTTTTACTCGGAACGGACTATCTGACGGTTTACTGTCATCATATCAAATGGTGAGGCACCGCTGTGCAGGTGACCGACCACAGCTAACACTGCTCATTGAATTAACTACACTTTTTGATTCCACCAGAGAAGCTGTGGATATTTGTATCGTAGAGTTACCCTTATGGTCGCAAATGTGTTTATAACAGGCAGCCATGTATGCCTCAGCTGCCGTGTGACGTATTCTGCGACTATGTCATTTTTGTCCTCCGCTTTATTCCTCGCTAGCTTGTTTCTCCTTTTTAAGCATTAAATGAATAAATAAAGTCCGTATGGCAGTGCAGTTACCCCTACTTGATGCGTGCAAACAGATTGTGGAGTGCTATGCTGTGAGTGACCCATACCCAATATTTGTCTGCTCGCTTCATCAGGTACGATCCCAATGGCCGCATTGGTACACTTTCACTACAAATTGAATCATGGCCCACAGTAAGATAGTGAAATACAATCCATTCACACAAGGAGTACCTCAGACGCCCACATAATACAAATAGGTTGGTTCCACCATGGCTGGGTCACTCAGACCTCGGTACGCATTGCCAACGTGTAAACTCTTCCGCAGTGCGCCAAATGGGTCGATGTTCCTCTTGCTAGTAGTGAGGATAAGTGATCTCATTCCATCCGGGTTACGGGCTACCGATAACAGAGTTGCGACAGCAGGACTCATCTGTGCAGAACGGTTTGATCATTTGTGACACGGTGTATTTATCATAGCATGAAAGTGAGATGCTACATGGGCATAGCATCATACACAGCTAATTTTCTAAATAAGCAGAGTAGAAGCTGGTCCGGTGAAAGACAGAAAACTTCATTCAATAGGAGGACTGCGAGTTTCACAGAGGCTAATTGCGATGCGCATGCTGTCCGGAAGGTGTGCAACAGTGAGTCAATTAAACGCTGTGTCACTGAAACCTAGCTTGGTGGATAGATTTGAACCGTTAATAGAGTTTTCAGTGATGAAGTGCACGACAGCGATAACAGATTAGGACTGCGGACCACGAACCCACAGGAGTGGCAGAGCACAAGGATCCTCTGGAAAAACAAATAAGTACCCGCTTCTGCCTTATGTCACAGTTGCCACTGCTATATTCCACTCTCCAACCGTCAACTACTAAACAAAAATGTACACCGGTTATGATGCATCTGTACTACCTGATACGTTTCCTACTTTGTTGGTGAGAATTGAATTGCCTGTTGCGTCTCTTGCACACACCTTCGTAGGTTTTTCTGCATTTTCCACTGAAAGGTTCTCTAACTGTCCTACATTCCAACTTTGTACCGACGCATAACCGGACTCTCTGCGCCGACATTTTACTGAACGTGACCAAGTGGGAGAGTGAGCATCGGGACATTGGAGAGTCCAGTTCAAGCGGTCGATGGTGGGACGTTCCGAAGCCAACGAACTTGGAAGATTTTAATGCGGAACCAGTGAGAAAGGTATGAATGCATATGGTTCACCCTTTCCTAATGTACTGTACTGGTTTTTCATAGCCGTCATGAGTTTAGTTTACTTACTGCAGCTCATTGCTTAGTTCAACCGCATATACCCTGTGTTAAAACAACGCATGGAGGAAACCTAGTTTGATCGACGTTTACAATGGCATCACTTGATTACTCGATACAACTGACTCCTTGACCATGTCACTTATTTGACCTACCACAACTTGAGGTTTACGCCAAACAAACGGACCAGTGATGTGTTGACCAGCGCCTGCTGATTAACCAGTTCGTAAAAACTGGTGCAAACTATTGACACTTCAGTCCTCACTCCGGCTAGTCTGTAATCAGCCTAAGTCTCTGATCTTGGTTGGCCCGAAGGATTGTTTGGCACCGTTTTCATCCAGTGTATCCCCGAGAACAACAGCTAATTGCGTGTCCATTGTTATCTACGCCTATAAGTGTTTGAGGTATTTTGGGTTTGGGAAGCGGGTTACCGATAGAAGAACGTCGGCAGAACTCGATTGCTTGTGGATTTCAATTAGTCGGTGCCTCCATAAAACACTTTGCTGTCCGCAAGTAATGTATCTTAATTCGCCGCACCGCGGATCTCAAACCATAGCTACTGGACTGAATTGAACTGCAAAACCAGGAACTAGCCACTTCACTTTGGCAGAATACAACATGAGCTTAACGAACAGCCCTCCAAAAAACCAGGATGCTTCTATTTGGTACCTTAAGATGTATGTTACACCAAACTGGGAAGCGCTTAGGTTAGTATTGTGCACCATGCCGAGGCAGTTCATTTTACCTTGGTAGTTCAGATTAAATTTCAGGCCTATTATCTCCTTATTTTCGTGATACCAGTACGAGAGACCGATGGACATGTACACCACCCCATCCATTAAAAAACAGTTTTTTTTCTTTTTTTAATCACGTTAGACACATCAAACTCCTTTTAAACATCACTATATGCGGTAATATTGATAATCATGGCTTAAGTTTGGCTAGAGCTGCACGTTAATCAGCAACTCATAAACGTGAAGCCAAATTTCAACAACACGCAAAAGGCGAACTTGATCATCAAACCACAGCATCAGACTCTTGTATCAACGCCGTGTGCTGACACCCCACGACCGCAACGAGCGCACGAAAGAAGAGCCAGGACAGCAATGCATACATGAGAAACCTGCTTCACTTAAATAGAATACATTAGTGGCAAAACCAAAACCAATAAAACACATCGGAGGCAACTGACAACATAGGTGACACGGAATAACAATGATGAATGAAAAGTGGTAGAAGTAAAAACCAATCGCGTATGTCCGGAAAAACAGTATTAGCGAGAATCACCAATCACATTGAAGAACTGGTACGTCTAAAAATGTCATAAAACAAACGATGGAGAAACAAAGCCGGTGACTGCGAATGGTCAAAAAGTTATACATCCAGTGGGGCCTTCCTAACAGGCTCATGTGGGTATAACTCACAAGTTGACATTTTTCTCATGAATTACTTTCCGTCCCAACGAATTAACCTAATCCTGCTCTCCTGTGCACAACAACAGACCTCTACGTCATCAATAAATGGATATCCAAAGTAAGCGTTAGTATAATGGCACGATATTTAGACAGACGGCTGATAACCATGAAGTAGTCACACGAAGTTGCGGAATCCGCAAACGCAGATGAGAACAAAATATGAAGAAATTTCTACTTTTTGGCACTGCTACAATTTGTGGCCGAGTGGAGATAAGCTGTGTGGATTAATGAAACAAATTTCGGTCCTTTTTGTGCTCACATCAAGGGATGTTCACTGCGTGGAACTACTGCGCAATGTGAGTATTCAACACTTAAGGGTAGAAGCTGCATCCTACTGGAGCAATGACGACTGATGGTTTGATAAAGCATACAGTTATGAGAGGAAATTACAACAAAGAAAGTTAGGCGGAGTGGTTGTATAGAATGCTGAATACGAATGGCTCGATTTTTATCGAAAGCTGTCTGCTGCTCTGTGATAACGCGGAATACCAAAAATCGGGAAGGCGTATCCCAAGGGGAGCCGTACAGATTGAGTAGTCTCTTGCGTTTCCCTCCGTACTCTCCATCACTCAATCCAGTTATAGGCATTATTCGCATTATAAAAAGGTATATGAAGCAATCTATGAGATAACAATACTCCAAGATGCTTCAGGTAGATCCTAAGCGTCTTCTCTGCAAGCGCGAATGGATAATACGCTTTCTCTAGCGGTTTATGTCAGGAGATCGTATCTGTATGACGCACCAGTACTGCCATCAACTGATCTATCGTGTGACAGAGATTACGCCCATGCACTACACTTTGTTTACTTGTAACTCATTTCTATTTCCCTAATGTAACCATACACGACAAATCGCGTGGACGTCCTGAGCTAACCCGTTTCCACCGGAAACAAAGCCGGTACCTGAATGCGAGATTCAAAATTTGGGTTTCCGGCACAGGCAAAACCGGCGACAGTGCAAAATAGTCAACAAGCATGGCTTCAAGACGCACGTGGGAATGAACGCATCTCAGTGCATTGCGGCTTAACACGGGCTTAACTAGGACCAAACAGAAAAAGCAGACTACCACCAACCGTGAGCCTTACAGAATTTATGCATTACACAGCGCGATGGCATTATAGTTCAGTGCGTCTGATAAATGTGGTCCAAGTTTCATGTTCAGCACGCTGAAAAGTGGTACCAAAATATGTACACAAGGTTAGCAGAGAAAAGTTTAAGAGTTTGCCGACCGCCCAATAGTAAAGCAATACTTTCCGTTAGCGTACGTACAAACGCATTTGCGCGCCTGTTGCCCATTAATGTACCGCTACCCTTATGGGTGCATGCACAGGAAAGGTTAAACAGACCTACGCTGAGTGACCGCTCGTCGAGGGACGGACTGAAGCCTAGTAACAAGTGGAACGATCAATATGTTGACAGCACATGGTGACAGTTTGAAATAGGTGATCTGTACGTTTTCGGTTGGGCTAGCAGCCTGGCTCGTAGTGGGACGACCGATGGGTAAACAACGCCTCGTCAGCCTAATAGGCAACTCAGTGCAATTCTTGTCATCTGGTTATCGGACCACTGTCTCATCAATAAACCAGACCAAACTAGACCTGAGTAATGAAAGCTCTGTGAGTGCGTATCGCAGTTGGTGACGAAACACAATAATGGCCAACACTGTCGTAGTCTCAAAACGCATTCCAACAAAATATTAGCTTTTATTAGGTAGCTTTCGTCTCAAAAGGAAATCCTACTACCTGGAACTCCTCTTTCCTTGTAGACCTATCATACTCCAAAATTTATGGGTCACCGCGTAGCACTTGCTCACACTACCGTCTTGTTCGCCTTAGATAATGGTCTCAGCATTCAGCCCGACCCGAGGAACTATTTGTACCATTTGTCGGAGCACCAATCCAGTCGTGAATTCATTCGTTATCGAGGATACACATATTTACATAAAATCGCACTCGCGCGTACCCAGTAAACAGCAACCTTTGTAACGCTTCTCCGGCTATCCAATCAGCGAGTTGTGTTGGAAAGAAAGTGCTCCCAACCGCGTTAGGGACGCACACCATCGCTTGCGAAGCCATAGCTTTTGCTTTAGTTTTTGGTGCTCTGCATGACAGCCCTAAAGTCCGTCGAGTGACGGGCACGGATGGGCCCCCTGATCATGTCGAACGATCGATAGCTTCGGTCGCAGCGCCACATGCTGACTGTTGGTTGTTCGGGGCACACTAAAAATGAGGACACGAGAAGCTTAGTTGGCAGTGAATGCGAGCGAGGTGTCGTTGGGCCCTGTTGGTTGAGACGAGCGAAGATGTACTGACAGCACTGGTTAGCAGTCTGACTTTTTGCCGGTGCTACAAGATGTGCTGTGCGATTCTTTTCATTTTATTATTTAGTAACTTTCTCAGCAATGGAGCATGAACAAACACACCCGTCGGCGACTTATCTCAAAGCTAAATTACGTTATGTGGTTAATGATCAGCGAGTGCTTATTCTTCGGCTGTACGGTATGTGCGTTTCAAACGCTGCAGAAACTGCTTGAAGATACTACATTATCGACGCTGGAATGCGGCCTGTCAACAAGTGTTACGTGCTTAAACTACTGAAAAAGTTTGCTAAAACTGGGTGTGCGCTAAAGCAGAAAAATTGGGTGGTCTCGCATCGTCACGAATGACAATACAGCATGTGTTGTTATTCATGAAGTATCCGAATGAGACAGACGAAGCGTGCATCAAATCACACAGCCTTGTGACACGACCCGATACACCGTACACAAGATTTTAGAGGAAGGGCATTTCTTAAATTTAGAGCACTGCAAGGTTGTGTTTTGAATCTCAAGGATCCGGACAAACGGGATGCATTTTACCGCTAGTCTTTCGATCACATGAGCATTTACTGCATAATTTTCACTGATGGACGAAATTTATTTGCATGGAACAGATAATCAATATTGAGCTAACACAAACCCAGGCCTGTACAGTGCGTCATGTATTTAACATAGCGCAGACCTCACGGTTTGGGCTTGTAGAACTGGTGTATACTTGTCCGAGATAGTGCGCTTGCGCTGGCGCGGATACCAGCAAATCGGAAGAGCGAACACAGACTGTATTCGAGGTAGGCTACAAACGGAAGAAAGCGGATGAGTCAACGAGAGCGTACCTTAGTGTCGTGACTCATCGTGGACACAAGTGCTGAGCCGAACATAGGCAGACAAGGCCGTAAGGTCGGCATTAAAACAAAAACCCGTAATGTATGATTATATAACGGATTTATACATAAAAGCGTAAGAAATATCTTTTGGGTCGCTACAGGCTGAGATGACTGGTCGGAAAAGCGTGAGACCATTTTTCCCAGGAACGTGACCAATAATTTGTTTTTGTTTTGCAGTACTCCTTCCTTAGTTTTCAAAGCATTGTCGTACAAGAAATTGCTTTAGACCTGCGTACTTGCACGGCTAGAGGTCGATGG